AAATAAAATGTTACACAATATAAAAAAGATCGACGATCGATTTTATCACAGGTGATAAAACGAATGTCCACTATGCTTGCTAAATGCTAGTCATTATATAAAATTAAACGCATAATTTATTACGTCACCCAAAGTTGTGTTTATTCAAAAATTCAAAAATCAATGTTTTCTTCTTCAAAAATTGATTTTGGTGTATTCAACATTGACCAATTTAACCAGTGACAATAAAGATTAAAATTCCTAAATTGCCAATTCATTACACTATTGGTTTACCGTCATTCATAGCCAAAATAGCCAAAATTGGCAGTTAAAAAAATAATGATAGAACATTATTTTTATTTTTTTTTTTTTTATAAAATTCTTCGCTTATTAAAACTATTGACACGAAAGAAATTTGCTAAATGGGCACTGAAACACAATCACACATATTATCGGTTTCAACTTCGTCTCCAAATTCCTCTAATATACCCTCAAGCACGAATAAAAACACTCAAGAGCAAAAAATTGAAAATACGAGTGCAAGTATACCAGAAAGTGAGGAAGCTTATCGTCCAACTCCCTCAAATGATGAGGTGAATGCAGCAGCGGCCAAGATTGCATATGCATTTCGTAAACACCGGTAACAACTAGATTCTCGTATTTGGGTTTGTTTAACCTATTTATTGATCACTACAGTAAATTTTAATTTATCAACATTTTATATTGAAATCAACAGTAAATCAAGAGAGGGAGAAGGTAAAATATTGTCTGCTAAATCTCGGGACGCATTCAACAATGGTGGAACTTGTTCGCATATGTCTGGTGGCATGCGTGGTCCTTGTCCGGTATGGTCTCAGTGGGAAGGCTTACTAAACGATGTTGAAGAATATTTACGTAATAAGCAGGAAGTCTCGGAAAGTCGGAATACAAATCAAAAGTTTGGACTCGCTGTAGGCGTAATTGAACGCATTACTAAAGTATATTTTTCTATACTGTTACTTTAGACTTGTTACTTTAGATATATTGTTTCTTTAATATGTGATTATTAATTTTTTTTATTTATGAAATCTAAATTTCCAGGGCAATAACACTGTTCATGATCATCTTTGGCTAATACTAGACACGGAACACTGGCTTGAAATTTGCGATTGCCAACATCGATACGGTTCGAATTTAAAGGTTTGTTTTAAATAAACGTTTTAATATTTCAGACTATCGCAAAATTTACTGAATCATGTCTAAAACAATAGGTATATCATGATCATTGGCTTGGGACCTCAACACCAGAAAACTTCTTTGATTGGTTAGATAAAGGGGGAGGCAAATCTCTAAGCCTTAAAGCTCGTCCACGACATATACTTGACAGTCAGCGTGTTAAATATCTTACAATTACGGAGCGGTTAGATTATGAAGTAACGTTCAAAGATGGACTATTGATATACAAGAAAAGTGGCAAGTATGTTCACACAAATCCGAAAGGCTATGATGAAGTGCAATCTAAAATATCGCCAATGCTTATAAGAAAAACAAGCAAAACAAATACGAGTGAATCAACTTTTACATCATTACCCAGTCCACATGGCAGTACAAGGTATACACACACTCGTGATGATAGTGATAGTGATGTAGGTACACGAGGTAAATGGATATACGTCTCAGATTGTGAAGGAAAATTCTATGTAGGGCAAAAGATAAAAGGTCAATTTCATCATTCATCATTTCTTTCGGGAGGGGCAATCCGTGCTGCAGGCGGAATAAAAATTTATGAGGGACGTTTGCTTGAAATTAATCCTAGGAGCGGACATTATAAACCAGCACAAGATCATTTCAAGAACCTTATTAAAAGATTACGAGAAGAGGGGATAGATGTAGATAGTAAAGATGTTAAGGTTATTTATCCTGATGATATTATGGAAAAACAATTATTAGAGAAATACCATTTAAAACGTTTTGCGGAATTTAGTAAGGTTTACGACGAAGTTATACGGGATGCGGAAAATATGATTGATTCTATGGACCGACAAGTTACTAAAGTGTCGATAGAGTTAAAAAAAAATACGAAAGAATTTCTTAAAACGAGCAAAAAATCTATACGTGAATGGATACACGAAATGCTTCCGAGAAATCACTGCCATCACAACAATAAAAATGATAACAACGATAACAAAGATAATAATATCGATAATAAAGACAATAATAATATCGATAATAAAGACATCGATAATAAAGACAAAAATAACAATATCGGTAATAATAATATCGATAATAAAGACAATAACAATATCGACAATATCGATAATAATAAGAATGATAACATTACATCAGAAACAATTAGAAATTCACACGATATACGCAAGTCTAAGAGTAAACATGAAAGGAAATCTAGTGGATTCCTTGAGCGCGTTTTATCATTTATAGGAATCTCGGATAATGATTCTGGTGAAAGTTCTAGCCAAACAAACGAAACTGGATCATAATGACACCTTTTTGGAGTAATTCGATGAAAAGTTTATATTCAACTTAATTATTATTATCAATTTATTATAATATGTACATTTATTATTAATTATAAATATCAATAATATCAATTCAAAAAATTTCTTCCTTTATTTCTATTCTTTACAAAATAAATTTGAATTTTATGTACAGTATGTTCAGTATGTAATAATTAATAATCAAATGATTTCTTATTCTTGACCAAAATAAGTAATTGATAACCAGTTCTGTAAATGGAAATCTGTAAATAAAATACTGCAAATGGAAGTAATGAAAATCTATTATTATTGGAAATTACAAGCCAATTCCGGAAATGTGATAAGATCACGTGTAATATAAAATCTATAACAAATAAAAATCTTTATTTGTTATTAAATGTTTTCAAAACCAATGGTTATCCTTCTTTGACAATGTTTACAACACAATGGTTTAGAGACTTTGTTATAGTATTATTTTTAACAAACAATTTTTATATAGAAATTTCACTGAAAGATGAGTATTCTTTAATTATATATATTTACAAATTTTTTTACACTTCTAGAAGTTTATGATATATCTGCAACACTTTGATCAAAGTAAACTGTCTTCAAGCAATTGATGAAATTACTTAAATATTGATTCTATTAAAAGATGATATATTCATGAACTTTATAAATTTTACAACATATTATTAAAAATTATACAATTAAATCACATAAATTCTACTGTTTTATGTAAATTACAATTGTATATATTATGTGAATACTGCTTTAAAAAAATTATCTATTTTAAGTATTAATTACATCAGACATATTATTGATCACATCATTTAATATGAATGCTCATCAATCTTAAGATATTTAGTAGTAATTGTAGAACATTAATTTAGTTTATTATTTTATTATTTATTAATGTATTTATTATTTTATATAGTTTATTTATAATTTATGTAAATTATAGATCTTGTAACAGGTGACTTACCAGGTTAACTACCAGGTGAATCACCTAGATAAATTACCTATTGCACATAACAGGTGGATCACCAGGTTAATTACCTCTTGTCAAAATTTGTAAATCAATAATTTGATAGATCGTAACATGTAATAAATTAAAGGAATATAAATATAAGTCTTTCTTGACCTTGAAAAGACAATTTTTCAGAATTTTAAAGATCAGAATAAAGTTTAGAACCAAGTTTCCTTTAGTTAATACATTATTTAATCCTTTAATATTTATCTTTAATTTTATAATTTCTATTTTTATATTATATTTTATTTTTGTATTTATTATTATATTTATTAATAAAGTCATATCATATTAAATATTCCCATTAAATCTTTAATTTGTTAATTTGTCATGTAATTCTAAATAAAATCTAAATTAATCTTGTATAAAATTCTTTAGCATATACATCTTATTAAACAGACAAGCTGATTTGATGTGTCAAAATTCCATACAATAAAGAACTCATCTTGTAATATTCATTTGAATTCATCATTAAATAATTGAATTAAGTTAATCTTAGTGATTCCTGAGAAATTCTAAGAATTATTTAAGTAGTTTAAGTTAGTTTTGTTAAAGAATATTAGTTAACCTTCAGACCCTTGTTCACATATTGATGTGACAGTAATTACTATATTATAGATTAGCTAAAATTGAAATTCCTATATTATAGATAAAAAAAATTGAAATTCCTATTATACTTGTACGCAAAATTATTTTGGAGTTCCAAAATTACAATTTCAGAAAAAAAAGTTGAAATAGTTTTTCATAGAAGATGAAATTATTTTCAATTAGTATTAAATATATTTAGTAAATAGTATAAAGAAATGGTAACCAATAAAAGGAGTGCACAGTAGTAGCACAGTAATGAAGATTATTAGATTTAAGTATAAAAAGGAACTGAAATTATCTTGTCTCTCTTCAGTTTACAATTTTATAATTTTGAATTTTAATAATTTATAATTTATTTGAAATTAATAAATTTAGTTTTATAATTTGTAATTTCAAGATAAATACTTGTAAAAATTATCTTGCAATTGAATTAATAAAATAATAAATATTGGAAATATGAAATGAAAATTACAAAAATAATTATTGAATATAAAATATAATAGTTAATAAAGAAATAATAGATATTATAAGATTAAATACTTGATTGTATAATTGTATAATATTATTATTCTTGAATTAATGAAATTAATTATAAACTATTATTATAAACCCTAGACTTGAAATAATAATTAACCTGATTAAATAAAAGTAATACTCAATGATAATAAAACTGGAAAATAATTAATGAATTAATATCAATACTAAAAGTAATAATGCACTTGAAAAAATATTGGAATAAATAGGATGAAAAGTCTAATTCTCTTTCTAAAATAAATGAATCAGTGGTACCTTCTAAAATAATTGAACAACAGTTTTACCTTTGGGAAAAGACTATAAACTTCTTAAAAGAACTACTAAGTCACTTTACTGGTTTAACCTCAAAGGAACCAGTGACCACCAATGACAATTTAGTATTTTCTAGTGGAAAGGAATTTTAATTATAACAGAAAGGACAGATGTGAAAATAAGTTGATAAAACTATTGAAAAAAACAACTGGAATTGTGAAAAATATATTACTGTTAAGATAATAATTCTGAAATAAATATTGAAAAACACAAGGGAAACTCTATCAAAATAAAATGAAAAAGGATCAATAATAAATGTCAAAATTAATGAAACTAACAAGTCTTCAGGATTTGCTCTATCACCACTGTCAAGATAATATTGAATGTAGAAATTATTGAAAGTTACTAAGTGCAAAACCTCTAACTGAACTTCAAGTATTTATACCTCTAATTAAAAGTCAAGTACAAAATCTCTAGTGAAGTAGTTGTTAAACTGAACTTGATCATCTCATAATTGAAAACAATTAAAGAAAGATATTGTCAATATTCTGAAAGTTATAGTACATGGCTATTGAAAAGGTGAATTGTCACTGTTAATACCTAATAGTATATAACGTAGTGTACTTAATCTAAAATATTCTGAAATTAATTCACACCAAGAAGATTAGTTACCTTTATAAGGATGTGACAAATAATAAATTTTCAAATGATCACAAATGGATTAACAAAGAAAAACTTATAAAGGAAACAGCAAAATGACAAAGTAATTTTTTAAAAAAATTGAAAAGAAAAATAAAAAAAATAATAAAAACTGGTATACAGAAAAAAATATCAACTGTATAAAAAAGAAACACTACATCTAAATATTAACCAAGAATTAGAAAATATTAATTGGAATATACAGAGAAAAGAAAGCTCTTAAACCATTTTATTAATATTTTTTTCTATTAATTCAAGTTATAAAATAACTAGAGAAAACTCTCCTGTAGAATTATACCAAAGTTCAAAAGTAAGTGAAAAAGATTTTGAAAAATTAAGAAGAGAATAACAAACATTCAAGAAGAAATAACAAAAGGATTAAGAAAAGCAACAAGATCAAGAAGTAGTAGTTTCAGATAACAATTAAAAATAATAACAAAAGAAGAAAAAATAGAACAATAAAATTTGAAGGATCTAGTAGAAGAAAATAATCAAGAAAACTACAATATGCTTGATTTTGAAAATAACACTTCAAGTGAAAAAGAAGAAAATAGAGAACAAGAAAAATTAGATAACATACTGGAAGAATAGATCTTTTATCATTTAAACTTCAAAGATTTACTAAAGATAAAACTCAAGATCCTGAAAAATAGTTGAAAGAATTTGATAAAGTAGCAATTATTAATCAATGGAATAATGATAAAACAAGAGAAAAATTGTATGATTTTTAGAGAAAGGAGCTGAAGAATAGTATCAAGAGACATATGTAAGAGGAGATGATAATTGTTATCCTATTCTGAAAGAATTAAAAATCTCCTTCAGAGAAATATTTTGTAATTAAAGGTGAAAAAATAAATGGAGAAATCAATTAAAAAAATTAAAACAACAATCTGAAGAAGCAATTGAAAAATATCATGCAAGATTTAAAAAGATTATGAAAAAGTTAGAAGAAATAGAGGAGGAATAGAAAATATTTTATTTTACTAGAGAATTGAGAAAAGAATTATTTCTAGTAGCAAGTATGTATGAACCAAACAATGTAAAAAAATTAGTGAAATTAATTTTAAAATTTGAAGTAGCTAAGGATTTAGAAGAAGAAACAGAACCAGGAGATGAAATAAAATATAAAAGAAGAGTTAACAAGAAGAAGAAAAAAATAGTCTTTGAAAAAGAATCTTCTAGTGAAGAAGAAATACCTGTAAAGAAAACTACTAAAAAGAAAGAGGAACCAAATGAAGATCCAATAAAACAATTAGTGAAACAATTTGAAAAATTAAAAATTAAAATAGCAAAGATTAAAAAACTTCAAAGTTACAGTATTGAATGTTACAATTGTAGAAAGAGAGGTCATTTTAGAAAAGACCGTAAAAGCTTAAGAAGAAATTTCAATGATAATTATGGATACAACAATGGTAATAATAATTTTAACAAGAGTAATTATCAAAATAATAATACAAATAGAAACAATCAACAAGAAAAAAAAATGAATCAGAATGAAAATGAAAGAAAAAATAATAATAGAAATCAATATAATAACAGAAATCAAAATCAAAATAATGATAACTAAAATTACACTTCTATTAATTTTATAAGTATTGAAAAAGTTGATGAATATAATACTGATAAGGAAACAGAAGAAATTATGACATTATTAAATGAAACTTTGATAGCTTTGAAAATTTAAAAATAAATAAAAGGAAAAAATTTGCAGAATCAGAATTGATTTATAACTATAGGACTGATTTGAAAAGAAAAAAGAAAAAAACAAAAACTTAGGATCAAAATCAATAGAATGGATATTAAATAAAAACAAAAGAAAAGTAAAAAAATTTCCTGAAAAGATATATAAAGAAAAAAAACAATCAGAGTTATTATAAGGATTTGAATTTAACTTAATAAAGAA